TTATCGTGTGTGAGTACGTGCGGGCGGTTCAAGCTGGATCACTCTACAAACTACAATAGCCATCTTCGGTCCAACGCGGAATCGACTCGACCCCCCGACGTGCCCTTGAACCCCCCCCCCCCCCTGGCGATGCCCATGGCTTCGCCTGATCGTGCGTCGGCGTTTCGCCCGAAACAGCCACGGGCGAAAGGGATTTGCTAGGGGTGGTGGTGGCTATGACGACGATGATGCTAGCCTCAATCATTACAGTGGTGGTGATGATAATGATGATGGTGGCGACGGTGGTGGTGATGGCGATGGTGACGTGCCCCTCTAGCGATAGTGGTTTCAAGACGCATCGGCTACCTGCGACTGCAGGCGATGTATGCTGTCTCGGCTCAAGTGCTGTCTTGCTGCACGGGGCTGGTTGTTCAATCTGAGTCCGAGAATCCCGTGCGTGGCGGCGCCATGGCAAGTGCGGCAACCTCATCGTCATCCAAGAGGTCGGGAATTGGCTGGAAAGAAAAATCACGCGTGGCCCCCCTGTTAAGGGCCCCGCGCGCCCAGCGCTTCGGAGCGGCAGCAGGAGCGCCCGCCGTGGCTCTCGAGCCCGACGCTGTAGAGCCAGTCACATGCTCACCCACTGGCAGTTTCACTGGGCTGCTGGCCGCCACCGCCATCGACCCCGACTTGGCCGCTGCAGCCTTGGGGGGTGCCTTTGCCTTCGCCTTCTTCGCCGCGGGCTCGGCGATATCCACCTTCTCCTGGACAGCGCCGCCGCCGTCCGCGGCGACCGACTCGCCCCCCGAGGCCAGTGGTGCATCGGCGGCGCCAGCTGGGCGCTTCAGCGCCGCGGGCGCGGCGGCTGGGCGTTTCAGCACGTCCTTTGCGCCCTTGACGTTTCTGTATGCTGGAGGGCACTGCTGAGGTAGCTGCTGGCCCTTCTCAGCCTCGTCCTTCAGCCTCTTCAACTCCTTCTTGTCCTGCACCTTGTCGGACTCCCACATCTTGCAGAACGGCAGCATGAAGTCAACTGCTTTCCGTAAGGTCGGATCATCATTGGGAACTTGACCAGGCTGGGGCATCGGCAATTCCCCGAACTTGTACAGCGGTGCCTGCAAGATCTGCGCACCCTGGTCGTACAACGAAAGGAGCTGCATGCGATCGGTGCGCTGCTGCAACGTTAACACGTTGTTCGTCGCCGAGTGCTCGCCAGTCCACAACGTATCAATACTGCAAGCGCGGCTGCCAGACTTGCCGATGGTGAACTCCGCCACTGAGATGCGGAACCTGTGCGTCGTGCCATCCCTCCATCTTGCCTCGACCAGCTCCTCTAGATTGGTGCCCTCGTCGATGTGGATCGGGAGCGACACCTCTTCGACGCCCTTGTTGTTTGGGCCAATGCCGACCCTGTTGCCGAGCATGAGCTCGCTGGACCACGAGTACTCCCACTGGCTGTCCCGATCAGTCGCGCTCGGAGCTGCCGTCGCAGAGTCTGGATCGACCAATTCGTCCGACACCTTCGGGGTCTCCTCCTCTCCGCCTTCCTCGTCGTAGTCTCCCTCGCCGTGGGCGGCGTCCTCGTCATCGGCGTCGTCGCCCTGGTCTGGCGCGTCGCCCAATAGCTCGATGATCCACGTCCTGTTGTCCCTGACGGCCTTGCCAGCGTGGCATATGAGGTTGTACGTTCGGTTGGTCATCGTTTCGATCCAGTCATCCTTCTCGGACTGTGACATCTTCCACGCTGGCTTCTTAGGGTCAGCCATTGCCTTGATTATCTTCTTGAGAGCACTGTTGATATCTGATTTCTTGAACGCCAAGTTGGGAGACAACCCTCTCATGTCGATGAGGAAATCCTTGCTGCGCGTCATCGCCTCCCTGCTGAATTCAGCCTTGGTCGCTTTCGGTGTCTCCGAATACTTGAGACAGCTAGCTCCATGTTTGATGCGCTGCTTCTTGATTGTCTCCTCTAAGCAATCACCATCATATCGCGGGCGCTTAGACGCCATCTCGCTCCTGGTGTCTGTGCAGCAAACCTATATTGAGTCAAAACAGCTATGGAATACGGGCCGCGTCAGCGGTAGCCAACCTACTGTTCGAAACCGACAGGCCCTGCAGCGCTCGTTATGTTTGACGGTGTCAATTTTTGTTTGAGGTGGCGGTGGTGGCGCAATGTGGCATTCAATGCCGAATACATTCAAACGAACGGTGAGGAGAGCTGGAGGATATGGTGGAGGTGATCGTGGAGGTGGAGCGTGCAGTGAGAACGGTGGTGGATGCGGTGGTCGCGATAGCGTTACACTAAAAACACTGCTGGGTATTCGGGCGCCCCCGAAAACTTGATCTCAACCCTCGCGCAGCTAACGTTTTTCAATGAATTCTGACACACGCGTGCGTTTACACACAATATACGACAATGAGCCTTATTTTAAGACTTGCATATACTTACATACGCGAGCTTTATTTTAAGGAGTGATGAGTCACAAGGACATGCGGGCGGCCCCCGGCGCGTGAGCTCGCTGGCATCCGTGCCGCCGCCCGGCGCGCTGTCTGCAGAGGGGGCTTCCGCGCCGCCGCAGCAGTGATCTTCGGCGTGCTCAGCCCGAGCTGGCGCCTCGGCCCGGCGGCCGTGGCCGCCGTCGCGCCTCTCTGGCAGGTCGCCAAGGCGCAGCGGCGGGGGCGATTCCCTCGCGACCTTTCTGGCGGGCTGCGCAGGGCGCCATTGCTGCCGGGCACGGGCGCGCGCGCGCGGCCCGATCGCGGCAGCGTCGCGGAGCATGTTGGAGTTGCAGCTCGGCTCCGACGCGGAGTGCTGGCACGGCGCCCCGTCTGCGCCAGCGGTGCGGCGGCCGGCCGACCGACCGCTACAGGACGCGCGGGGCGTGCTCCTCGCGGCCTGGGCGTGCCGCGAGGCCCGCGCGCTCGTTGCCCGGCGTGGGGATTTCGCGCGCGATCGGTCGAGGCGTGGGCCGGTGGGCCACGCGGCGTCTTCTGGAGAGCGGCGAGCTCGCCCCCGATGCAGCGGGCGCGCTCCAGGCCGTGCTGACGGGGAACGTGATCACCGAATCGGTGGCGGCCAAATGGGGCAAGCCGGAGCGTTATCCGCACTGCGGGGCCGCGCGGGAGGATAGGCAGCACCGCTTCTTGGAGTGCCCTCGGTGGTCCGAGCCCTGCAACGGCGCCCTGGCCGCCGGAGGTCTCTCGGCCGCTGCCCTCCGAGCGCGGCTGCCAGATGGGGTGGCGACTTTTGGCGTCCTCCCGCAAGACGTCCGGCTGGCGGCGCTGGCGGCCGCAACCGGCGCGCCCTTGCCACCCCCTCAGCTGCCGGCGCCCGCGCTGCCCCCAGGGGCGCTGGAGGGGGGCTGCCCGGATTGGGCGGACGGGGCCTGCGCGCATCCTACAGGCCCATGCAGTCCTGGCGCGCGCCGGCTGGGGCTTGCGGCCGGAGCGGCCCGGGGCGCCCCTGGCGGAGCGCCGCGGGCCCGTCGACGGCGCGCAACGGCGAAGCGGGCAGAGCCGCCGTCTGCCTGGCGGGCTCGCCCGTCGAGGTCACCGCGGACTCGCAGTGCGTCCGGAACGGCGTGCTGAGCCTCCGCGGCGGGCTTCGCCGCGCGATTGGGCGCGCGCAGACTTGTGGGCGCTCGTGGGGCCTTTTTGCAAGACAGGCTACGCCGTCGCGCGCTGGGTCAAGGGCCACCTCGATGCGGCGGCAGCGGCCGAGCGCGGAATCTCGGAAGAGGCGCGAGAACGCCGAAGCGGACCGCTTGGCGGGGAGGCAGCCGAGGCCCGCTCGCCGGCGACGGACCTCGTCCAGGAGCGCGCGGCCCAGCTGCATGCGCTGCAAGTGCTGTAGAAGATGCTGGCCGAAGTCAACGTGGCGACCCTGAGAGCCAACCGCGGCAACGATGGCCGCGGCGCCCCCCGGGCGCAGCGGCGCCAGGTGGCGCCGCGCCCCCGCCGGCGACCAGGGAGGCGGAATCCCCGGGTGGCGGATGACGCGGCCGCGGCCGCAGCCGTGACCGCCGCGGACCCCCGGCGCCAGGGCCGCGCCGCAGCCCCCGCGCCGCGGCGAGGGGGGGCCGCCGAGGCGCAGGCGCTGTTCGCAGGCGGCGCGTGGCGCGCGCGCGGCGTCGCGGGGGCCCGGTTGGTTGGGTCGCCTGCCTGCGCCGCGGCTGTGGGGCCCCGCAGTGGGGCCGCCTCGCGAGCCGCCCCTGCGGCGGGCGGGCCCCGATCCTCCCCCGCCTTGGGCAGCCGCGCCGCTGCTGCTTCCGGCGGCGCGCGCGGGGGGCCCCGAGTCCGCGCGGCGGGCCGCTCTGCGGGGGCGCCTGGCCGAGCGGCCCGGGGCGCCCGATTCATCAATGGATTCGCGGCGCCGCGCAATGGCGCGCGCCCTCCCTTTCCCCCCCCCCCCCCCCCTCCTTTCCGCCTCCGCGCCCCCCCTCCCCTCTGTGCCGCAGGGCTTCCTTCGCGCCTCTTAAAAAGTGCCCGAGATCCGCGGGCCCCCTGGCGCTGGCCACGACGCCGTCGCATGAAGCAAGCGGCCGCAGCAGCGCGCCCGCATCGATAGGGCCGCATGTTGAAACCCTTCACGCTGCCAGAACTTCACCGATTTAGCGTGGCAGTTTCGTGCGTCCAACCAGTCGTGCTCCGAGACTTTCGCCAACGAGTTTACTGAGCAAGTGTGCAACGCTCCCATGTCGTCCTTCGGCTCGTTTCACGCCCCCCCCGGAAGCCGTGGATTTCCCCGTCCGCGTGGAGCTCAGTCCGCCCTCTCGCTCCTCTCCGTCGCGTGGCAAGCGACGCTCGTCGACGCTCCCTACAAACTGTGCATCAACTCTGCCTGCGTGCCTGGGCTGGACTTTGTGAATCAAGCCTTCTATCCCAGAAGTCGCCCTCAGGCTCCGGGCATTGGGCCCCTGGGGCGGCGCGCAGTCGGCCGTCGCGACGGCGCCCGGCGTGTGTCTCACGTCTTAGGCTAGACCTCTGTCGCTGCGTGGCGAGCCGCCACCGCGGTGCAGAGGATGATTCAACCTGCTGTTGCTGCCCATCGCGCGGCCTTCATTGAGGCCAAAACAGCGGAAGCCCGTGCTGCGCGCGTCCGAGGCGATTCGCGTACGACCTACGCCCTTCTACGTGCTCTTGGTGGTCGCTGCACGTCTAAGCAGCCCCAGCACGTAGAGAAGCCCGACGGCGCCCTCGCCACCTCTGAAGCCGAACGGCAGGCACGGCGGCTACAACGCTACACCGACGTCTTCAAGGGCACCCCGATGTCTATCGAGCAGCTCCGCGGCATCCCGCTCGAGGCCCCGATCATCAACGACTGCGTCGACGTCTCGCCCTCCCGCGTCGAGGAGGCCCTGATGCGCCTGACGTCCAACCGTGGTGCTGGTCGTGATGGCGTCGCCGCCGAGGTCCTGCGCGCTGGCGGTGGCGCGGTGGCCTCGACGTTGTCCGAGGTGTACGGTTGCGTGGTCTCTTCCGAGGTTTGGCCTTCTGCTTGGGCTGGTAGCCGCGTTGTGGAAGTCCACAAAAGGAAGGGCTCCAAACATATTTGCGATGGATATCGCGGCATCCACCTCGACAGTCACATGTGCAAGGGCCTGAAGGAAATCCTCAATGACCAGATCAAGCCGCAGTGCGAGGCGGGGGGGGCCCTCGTCCCAGTTCGGCGCCGTCTCGCGCCGAGGTGCCGACTTTGCCTCCCACGTTGTTCTCACCTTCGTTGATCGGAGCAAGGCCCTCCAGCTGTGCACTTTCATTCTGTACGTCGACCTGTCCAAGGCTTTCGATAAGGCTTTGCGCGAGCTGGTCCTGGGAATCCCCCTGGACTGCAAGATCCCGAACGAGTGCTTCGCATCCTTCGGCCTCGCTTCTCATCATGTGTCCTGGGTCATGGAGTTCGTGCCCGTGCACGGCCCCCTCATGCGACAATGGGGCGTCCCTGGTAAGGTGGTGCGCTTGGCGAAAAACCTTCATTCGATGAGTTGGCTCAGTTACGGCGACGTTGACCCGGCCGTCAGCGTGAGGCTCGGCGGCAAGCAAGGGTGCGATTTCGGCAGCAACATCTTCAACGGCTCGTACTCCGTTGGCCTTCTGCTCCTTCGCGACGCTCTTCTCCGAGCTGGTGTCGTTCTTCGCGTCCGTCGTCGGGGCCCCGACTTTCTCTCCCCAGCGGAGTGTGGCAGTACCGACGACACCATCTTTCCCATAGTCGACGTGGCATTCGTCGACGATGAATGCTTGATGCTCTGCGCCAAATCGCTTCTGAGCTAGACGCCCGCATTGATGTCCTCCTCGTTTCTTTGAACGAGGTGTTCAAGGTCTGCTTCACTTCGAGATCCACTGGAAACCTGGCAAGACAGAGCGTATCATTGTGTACCGTGGGAAGAATGCTGGAACACATTCTCAAGCCCGCCGCGCCGGCCGGGCTGACTCCATGGCCGTGCGCGTCCCCGGCTCTGCGAACAGCATCGCAGTAGTCCACAAGTACAAGCACTTCGGCGGCGTCACCGAGACTGGCGGCAACAATGTGATTGAGGCCCGGGCTAGGTCCAGGGCGGCTGCAGAGGCGTACAGCCCCCTCTCGGTGCGCAAGTATGGCCCTAATGCCTCGGACCTCGAGATTCGCCTCACCCTGAAAGCACCATCTGTAGACTGCGTGCTCAGGTGCAACCGATTAGTGTACGTTGGCAGGGTCATGCGCCAGGGTCCCACCGAGCTACAGTCACTTATCGTTCCTTGCCCTCCTCTGACCCGCCTGCTTGAAATGCAGCTGGTGCTGGAGGACCTGCAAGGTTTATGGCGGATGTCAGCTCTGTGCTCCGGTCCCCCTTACCATTCAGAGTCTTTCGCCCCGTGGGGTCAAGTCATTGCCGAATCTCCAGCTCGCTGGTCTCACGGTGTCAACTGTATATGTTTCGTGGAGTCGGTGTGCGACCTTGGCACTCCTGCTCCCCATCCCTCCAGCTCCCCCGTTGCATCTTTCAAATGTGATTTATGTAATTGCGCTTTTGCTTCCGACAAGGCCTTGCGCTCGCATCGCCGTGCCCAACATGGCACCCGAGTTCCCCAGCGACTGTATTGCCTCGCGGACGGCACATGCCAAGGCTGTGGCACCAGGTACCGGTCCCGTCGTCGCTTGCTGGCTCACCTCTGCGACTCTCGTCGCGCGATGCTGGGAGGCCATATGCGCCAGGCTAGCGTCGTATGTAAAGCTATCAGCTTCTGAATGCAATCGCCTCGACAGTATAGACAACGATCTGCGTCGCCAGGCCCGCCTCAGCGGCCATTCACACGCGCTGGCAGTTGGGCAGGCTTTCACTTCCACTGGAAGGGCCGTGGGTCGCTGCACACACATTATCGCTTCAGCCACATTCCAGTTATAACATCTTGCGGCAGAGTCGATCCAAGCCTTGAGGAATAACATGCATTTATCTACGTATATACACATACACACATAAATTAAACATACAGAAGCCTCTATACATGTCCTTCACCCTGTGTCTGGTCTCCCTTCACGCTCCACAGTGGCCTGCGGTTTCGTTGGCCATAAGTCCCCCCTCGCAGCACATCTAATCGCTTGCATCATCATTCCCAGGAACTTAATTTCGCGGGCCAATTGAAACAATTTGGGGCATGAGCAGCCATGGCCGAGCGGTGCGCTTACAGAGTGCACTCCTGAATGCCTCTCCCAAGCACCCCACGTCTCCCAACGTGCGGGGTGCATGGCGTGGTGTCCGTCTCCCCCTGTTGGCCGAAGCGGCCCAGCTCGGCTCATGTGGTGGTCCCGCCAACAGTGGGCACCCGAAAGTCACTCGTGGGTTGGGGGCGGGCCCGTCCTGTCAGCGTTTGGCTGCGGTCGCTGGGTCCCCCTCTTACTCCTCCTCCTGCCCCCTCTCCTCTTCTTCCTCCTCCCTGTTCCTACTGGCCCTCCTCCTGCACCACCCAATCATCCGTTTCCTCCTGCCCCTCCTCCTCCTCCTCCTCCTCCTCCTACTCTTTCCTCCTCCTCCTCCTCCTCCCTCCTCCTCTCCTCCTCCTCTTCCTCCCCCTCCTCCTCCTCCCCCCCACTCCCCGTCCACCTCCATCTCCCCCTCCTCCTCCTCCTCCTCCTCCTCCTCCTCCTCCTCGTCGGGTTCCTTCTCTGACGCTGCAATTTGCGCGCATCCCCCTCGCGCCCTTCCTCCCGCCCCCTCGTGCCGGTCCAGCCGCCGCGAGAGCATCTCGGTCGGCATGGCCTGTCAGGCGGGCCATGCAAGGGCCGATTGGGAAATATGGTTGCGGGCACGCATTCAACGCGTCCCTCCTCCCTCCCCTTGCTGCTCCCTCCTCCTGCTCCTCCTCCTCCTCCTCCTCCTCCTCCTGCTCCTCCTCCACATTCACCCTCTTCCTCCCTCCCCAGTGCCCCCCATCTCCCCTCCTTGCTCCTCCTCCCCCCTCCCTCCTTTTACTTCCCCCTCCCCCCTCCTCCCTCCTTCCAACTCCCCCTCCTTCTGCTCCTCTCTCCCCCCTCTTTCTGCTCCTCCCTCCTCCCTCCTTCTACTTCTCCTACCTCCCCCGTCCTTCTAGTCCCCCTCCGCTTTCCCAACTCCTCGCCCTCTACCTGCCACCTTGCCGTTGCCCTCGTGGCCTCTCCTCGCCCAGCACCGCGCAAGCTTTCCAGGCCAAGCTGGGGAACACTGCTATCGGTAAACGCCTACCAACAAAGGGTATATCTATACGCCTATGCTGTGCAATCCATGTTGTGCAACCTATGTGGGGCAATCTGTATGGTGCAACATCTCTTGTTACATGTGGCACCTTTGCACGCGCGAACACGCGCGTGGCCTGCGCAAGCTGGGAGAAGCCCACGGGCGTATCGACAGCCCGAAACCCTTCCCAGAGAAATAGGTGGCAGGGAGAAGGAAGCACGTTGCGTGTCTCTGAGGGGCCTGTTCGGGCATCCCTAGAATGCTGGCCGTCACATCGAGCATTCATGCAGCTTCTTCCTACCAGAAAGCCTCGCTGGTCAGGGCGCGCCTGCTCACTGACGACGTACTTCGGCTTCGTGTCTCGCGCCGAGGACGGGGTCTTTTCATCTGAGTTCTTAAGTGCGAATGGCCGAGTGGCCGCGGGAGACCCCGCTGGACTGCTGCAGTCGCCCTCCTGTTTGCCCTTCGGAGCAAGCGCGAGCAACGTATCATCTGGTCTTGCTGGTTGTGGCAGACCGCTCAACATAACCTGGAGGAGGTTCGGGGGAATCTCCGCCGAGAGGGAGTTTTGCTGCCATGCTGCGCGCGGCAAGCCGCCAGGCCCTGCCGCTGTCGGCGTGGTAAAAATGTCTCCCTCCTCCTCCTCCTCCTCCTCCTCCTCCTCATACTTCTCCTCCTCCTACTCCCCCCGCCTCGTCGTCCTCCTCCTCCTCCTCTTCCGCCTCCTCGTCGTCGTCGTCGTCGTCGTCGTCGTCGTCGTGAGCCTCGAGTCCTCCTGAGGGGGGGAGCGCCGCCGCCGCCGCCGCAGCCGCAGGGCGCGGCCCGCCTGCTGGGCGCCGCCGCAGGCCGTCGCGGCAACGCAGCAGGCGGCCACGCCGCGACCCGCCTCCAGCGCACCCTGCGGTGAGGGGGCTCGTCGGGGTTCCTACTCCTCCTCCTCCTCCTCCTCCTGCTCCTCCTTCCCAGCCTCATCCCCAGCCGCCTCCTCCTCCTCCTCCTCCTCCTCCTCCTCCGCCTCCTCCTCCTCCTCCTCCGCCTCCTCCTCGTTTTCCTCTGTGCACTCCCGCTGAGACGACACACGGGCTTCTGGGGGCCTGCCGTTCTCAGAGGCCTCCAGGCCTTTGTGAGAAGGCCTCCCTTTCCTCTGAAAGGTCCCCCCTGAGGGATCCCCCGCTTCTGACAGAGGCCCTCTCGGAGGGGCACGGGGGCTTCTAAGACTTCTCCCCAGAAGCCCTCGAAGCCTCTTGCCTTCGTAGAAGCTCTCCCGCGGGCCGACCCCCTTGCGCCACCCCCTTCTGCGCGCCGCCCCCATGCTGGGGCAACGTCACCAGGGGGGCCGGCTCAGAGGGGGGCGGACACCGCGCCGGAGTCGGCGGTGCGTCGCCAATGGACCGTGGACGTGCGCCCATTGGCGGACTGTCCTGGGCGGGGTGGGATTTCGGGCCCCTGTCGGTGATCAAGGGGCGATTGGGGGTCGATGCGTCATATTACGCTCGGCGGCGCGCCCAGGGGGGAAGGCCGAGGGGGCGAGGCCTCCCGGGAGGCTCCGGAGGCCTCAGGCCTCCCGAGGAGCTTCGCGAGCCCTCTGCGAAGTCGCAGAAGGCTTCTCGGAAGGCCGCAGGGCTTCTGAGCAGCCCTTCCTCCTCCTCCTCCTCCTCCTCCTCCTCCTCCTCCTCCTCCTCCTCCTCCTCCTCCTCCTCCTCCTCCCCCTCTCGCGACCCCCCTCGCCTACACGCTGCGCGTTTCTCTCGACGGCACCGCTCAACGGTGTGCTGTGTACCAAACCTCGACGGGTGGGCCATGTCCCAGATCAGTGCTTCGGCGCGGACCGTTAGCGCCCCTCGTCGTCGTCGTCGTCGTCGTCTTCTTCTTGGTACGTGTTGCTCTGCTGCCCTCCTGATCGGCTACATTCGGCGGCGCGCCCACAGGGGGGAGGCGGAGGTGGCAGGCCTTCCCAAGGAGGCTCAGGAAACTTTCTGAACTTTCTGCGAAGGCGTAGAGGGCTCCTCAGCAGGCCGGGGGACGTCTGAGAAGGCCCGCCGCCCTCTGAGAAGACCTGTGCCCTCTCACTTCCCTTCCCCCCCCCCTCCTCGTCTCCTCATCGGCTACACGCAACACGCTCCCCTCGACGGCATCTCTCGACGTGCTGTGCACCAGAACTCGCAGGACGGGCCCTTTCCCAAGTCCATGCTCCGGTGTGGATCGTTAGCGCGCCTCGCCTTCGTGGGGCGTCGTGATCGTGGCGCGTGTTGCTCTGCTCGGGACCTGCTTTCCTTACGCAGCGACCACCACCACACGCAAGAGTGACCTTGGGCAAGAATGGGCTCTGGTGCGCGGCTTCTGGGGCGGCGGGGGGGGGGGGGGGGAGCCCGACGCGCCCCAGGCGCGCCAGCCGCTGCCGTCGCATCGTTCTCTGCGCTCGGGGGGCACCAGAGGTCACTCCTGGCGGAGGGCCACCCCTCTGGGGAAACGAAGGGCATGCCTGCTGGCACAACCCAAGGCTTCCCCCCCCGTAGAAGAACACATGGCGGGGGGCCGTGCTCTGCAGGTGCCGGCCTCGAGAGCTGCAGGCTTCGGCGTCCAGGACTGGACGTGCCCCGAGAAACTCTGGCGAGGCGGGAGGACAGAAGCAAATCCGCTCAGCAGCTGTCCCGGGACCCCCCCCGGGGCCCGCCGGGTGCAGCTTTTCGCCCTGGATCCGTCTGTGGCGGCCCTGGGGCCCGAAATCGGCACCCCGTGACGGAACAAAAATAACAAACACGTTCGAACGCTGAACCTCGAACACCCCTCACGAGGATCGTGGCCTCCGAGGGGGGAGCCGCAATCGACTACCCCCAAGAGCCCCCCAAGAGGCCCTGGGGGCCTCCAAAACGCCGCCAAGGAGCCCCAAGAGACTCCCAAGAGGTCCCCAAGAGGCCCCCAAGAGGCCCTAAAGAGGGCTCCAGGGCCGGCGGCATGAGCGAAGCGATTAAATATAACAAACGTGTTCGAACGCTGAACCTCGAACTTCGCCCCACCCGTCCTGCGGGCCAGAACCAGACCCCCAGCCGGCTCCAACTGTGGGGCTCCTTTCGGGCCCCAGGGACCATCAGAGAACGGCTCGGGATGCAAAGCTGACCTCGTGGAAGGGGCATCGTGGCAGAGTGCCCCTGCTCGGGCCAGGCGGTCCTAGGGAAGGAGGAGGAAGGAGAAGGAGGAGCAGGAGGGGGAGGACGAGGCCGAATCTTGGTTTGGGCACGTCGAGAGCAAGGCGGGGCCTTCCAGCAGCGAGAGATTTAGGGTAGGCCTGGACCGAGGAGGAGGAGAAGGAGGAGGAGGAGGGGGAGGAGGGGGAGGAGGAGGAGCAGCGCACGTCGCTGAGGAGGCGCGTGATCGAGGAGGGGGAGGCAGGAGGGAGCAGGGAGAAGGGGGAGGGACATGAAGAGGGGGAGGGAGGGGTGGGTGAGGGAGGGTGGGGTGGGGGGGAGAAGGGAGGGAGGATGAAGCAGGGATGAGGGAGCAGGGAGGACCGAGGTAGGAGGGAGGGAGGAGGGGGGAGTCGGAGGGAATTGAGGAGGGACAAGGAACATATATCGACGCGCCGTTTGCTCTCGACGCGCCCTAGCGGACGAAGCCGGCCCCGCGGCAAACACACGGAAACCCCTGCGCCCGGGGCGGCGTTTGTCGTGGTGGTCGCGGCGCCCTCTCAAAGAGGGAAAGCCCCGCGCCGGAACAAACGGCGCGACGACATATCCAGAGGAGCGGCTGGACCACAGCCATCCAGGAACCACCTCATTCTCAATCGCTTTTTGCCCGAGTCCATCTTCAGTTTTCACTCCTGACGGGCGTCTGGAGCCACGAAGTCTCGCGCATCTCATAAACATGTTCTTCGCATCTCTCGCTCTGATTCGTCGCACCTCTTCTCCCGAGGCAGCAGAATCCATTCCAGCCGCTGTGCCCGAGGCTCGCTGGCGATGTGCAGCGAAGCCTCTCTCGAGTCCTGCACACTGGCAGTTGGCATCGCATTTCATCTTAGCTCACGCGGGTGGGTGGGAATGGCGTGGGCTCTCAGATCACACTTGCACTTTTCTATGCCAGCGGACTGGTTGCGATACAGGATGATCACACTTGCACTTGTGCATGGCATCTTCTGGGTACCTGACCTTCACGGCCGCGCCACCTCCTCCACCTGGGGGACCCTCTGGAGAAGGAGGAGGAGGAGCAGGAGGAGGAGGAGGAGGAGGAGCAGGAGGGGGGGAGGAAAAGGAGGAGGATGACAGGAAGGGAGGGAGGAGAAAAGGGGAAAGGGGATGAGCAGGAATGGCCGATGCGCTCCTGACCTGGCGGGACCCCGAACCAGGCTAAAGCCCCGTGAAATTCAAAGGCTCATGCGTCCATTTTCGGACGCGAGCGTTGACCAGCGGAAGCGCTCCTTCGGCCAAATCCCCGAGGGTCTCGGGGTCACGGGTTGCCTCAGGGTCGGAGCTCGCGATCCACCCCGTCTGGTCCCACCTGAGTACACGACTCGCAGGGCTGTCCCAAACTTGCTTTCCTGACCTGGTTGCCCCAAGAACGGCCTTGCTCAGCAACCGCCAAGGTTTCCATGCTCGTGGGGTGTCTCTGAGCATTGCTGCAGCAAGTGGGTAGAGACTAAGCAAGCAGGGGGAGGACAAGGAGGTGAAGGGGGAGCTGGACGGAAGAAGGGAGACAACGAACGAACAAAGAATTGTCGAAAGTCCGCACGGGATTCGGGCGGCCCCGGAGGCGCCGCCAGGGGAGCCCAGCGCCGAAAAAAAAAAACCGTACGGACCTCCGAAACTCTATGTTTATAGGGGTGTTCTTTGCTTCCTCTTCGTCTTCTTCGGGAGCAGGAGGGGGAGGAGGAGGAGGAGAAGGAGGAGGATGAGGAGGGGGAGGAGAAGGAGGAGGAGGAGATGGATAGGAGGAGGAGGAGGTGGAAGAAGATGATAAGGACACTTCTCCGCCTTACTCGGCACACCTACGGCGACATCGTACAGCACGACCAAACAAGCCGTCATCTCAGTATCATAATGGCTACACACATATGACTGGGCAACCAACATACACGACACAACACGGCTCCTACAGCACATCTGCAGTCAGAATGGCATGCCATACAGCACAAAAGACGACAAGGATTGCAGCCTCTCGTGATCCACATCAAGATCTACCGAACGCGACCACCAGCCAGAAGACACACTACAACCTACTCCAAAAGACGAGCGAGCTACACGACCGAACGCTTCGATCACACCAATCCAACAACCAGCAAGCACAACTGTACCAACACAGCAGCTACCAACACCACCAGAGTGATACGTAGCCCGATACCACTCCCACCAAGACTAAAGATCCCAGTGATCTGTCCACCACCCAAAGCAGCAGCAGCAGCAGCACAGCTCGGGCTCACCGATATACCAAGAACAGAGCTAGCACCAGACTTCTGCGACCCTCCCAATCTACCGTCGTCCAAAAACGCCACCGGCAAACCTACAAGACGGTCAGACGGGCTCAACACCGATACCCCAACACGCAGGACATAGAGAAACACGATGCGTAAGGAGGACCGCAACGACAGGCGATCCCTGCAGCACTTGGACACAATTCGGAGCCACCTGCAGCAGTACCAACAACATCTGGAAGAAGTACGACAACGCAACACATGCAACACATATAAGCAGCAGCGCCACGAAGTTGCGACAGCATTGGCAACACCGCCTATCTCCAAGCCTAAGTTCCCTACACCCGACCACACAGCTCCACCAACACCCCAACCAAGGCTCCCCACCCGTTGGGCCGACGGTGGACATTACTAGGGGTAGAACGCTGAGCTTTAGCTTTCGAGTCTCTGTTTTCTGCGCCTGCCAGGCTCAAGTTGTTTGTTGCTGACCTAAGTCGGCCTTCTTTTCCACACCCGTGCTTCAGGCTCTGACCTTTCGTTTGCGCAACGTCAACAAGGATGAGCAGGAGCTGGAGGAGCTGGAGAAGCTGGAGGAGTTGGAGGAGCTGGAAGAGGAGGACCCCGCCTCCAGCAGTGCGCATGCCCGGCGCCACTGCCAGCCCCGCGCGCACGCGGCGACCTGGGGAACCCCCCCAATTGCGGACATCTCCACGACGGGGCCCTCCAGGAAGAGGAGGAGGAGGAGGAGGAGCAGGAGGAGGCGGAGTCGGAGTAGGAGAAGGAGGAGGAAGAGGAGTAGGAGGAGGAGGAGGAGGAGGAGGAGGAGGAGGAGGAGGAGCAGCAGGAACTCCGCCCCCCTGGGGAGCTGCGTCCCTGCAGCGTGGCCCTCACATGTCATGCCAACTTCTCGGACGCCCCCAAATCAGGGCGACGATATCTGCAGGCATATATTTTTATATATATATATAGACATATATATTTATATATATGTATATATAAATACGTGTATGTATATATGTATATACAAACACAAGAACCATCGCGCGCTCTTCGCGCGCGCTCAAGTTCAAGCTAGGCTTGATCGGCTAACTCATGTAATCTCATGTTGGTCGCTTCTTGCGTCCAGGGACTCCCTTGGAGGCCCTGCGCGAGCCTCGGAATTGTATAGAAGGGGAAGTGCGGAAACGCAGAAATCATTAATTTCCTTTAGGTATGCAACGATTTGGGGCCCTCAAAGGCTTCCTGGGTTTCTTTTTTAGGAGGTGAGGGGGGTCTGAATTGTGGCCTGTTGTGCAATAGTAGACCGGGGGCCCAACTTGAAAAAAGGAATTGTGAGGCTTCCTTTTTTTTTCCAGTTCCTCGGGGCTGTTCGGCGCTGTTTTTTGTTTGTGCCTCGCGGGTTTTGTTAGCCAGGCCCCTCAGGGGTGGGGGATCTTCTGGAACCCCTGGGGGTTCTGGAGGCCTCCTGGAGGCCTGAAGAGCCGTCGGAAGGGTGCCTCGTGCTGCGCGGGAGCGTGTTGGGCCGTTCTTTGCGTTGCGGGGGCTCCTTGGGGTCGTCTTGGGCTGTCCTTGGGCGTCTTGGGGTCCCCCGGGAAGCCGGGAGGCGCGGTACCGGCCAGATGTCAAGGGATGTGTAGGACCCGAGTAGAAGTTCCACTTTGAAAAAGAAGGGAATTCTTGGAATTCCCCTTTTTTCAGAATCCTCGATCTTTGAGGGTTGGAAGCGGGAAAACGTGAGAAGGCGAACAACATTGGAAAAACGATTGGAAATCAAGGATTCTACCCTTTGGGGGCTCTCTCGGGACGGCTCTCGCAGCTCTCTTGGGCTGTTCTTGGGGCCTCGTCGGGGTCTTTTGGGGCCTCTCAAGGATCGGGGGTGTGTTGGGGGCCTCTTGGTGGTCCCGGAGGCCTCTCGGAAGTCTCTGGAAGCCTCCTGCTCCCGCTCTTGGGCTCATCTTGGGCCTGTTCTGGGGTGGTCTGGGGCTGTCCTGGGCGCCTCTTCGGCAGTCTTGGAGCCTTCTTGGCCCGTCTTGGGGCCGTCCTGAGGGTCTATTGGGTGGTCTTGGGGCGGTCTTGGGGGCCTCTTCGGTGCTCTTGGACCATTGGAAGCTCGAAAACGAGAGAAGCCAAAAACATGGGGAACAAACAATGAACATCGACGATGTTGGCCTCTTCGGGCCGTCCTGGGAGGCCTCTCGGACCTCTCTTGGGGTCTCTTCGAGACCAACTGGGAGCCTCGAGAGCCATCGGAAGGCTGACTTGGGCTGCTTGGGAGCGTCTTGGACCATCCTTTCGCATTCTGGGGGCTCCTGGGAGGCGTCTTGGGCCCTCCTGGGGCGCTGTGGAGGCTCCCCGGAAAGGCCGGGGGAGCGGTACCAGGAGCGTCCCCGAGATGTCACGGGGAGGTGTGGGACCCAGGGCCCGGGAGGGGGCGGTATTTGTTCATTTATCTATATTTATAACTATGTATTTATTGAGTTATGTATCATTACTATCATTATGATGCTGCTGGTTATTATTACTATTAGCATTACTATTACTGTTTTTTCTATTCGTATTGTTATCATGGTTACCTATTATTATTGTTGTTAGTACTGCCATTGTTATTGTTGTGGTTATTATTATTATCATTGTTCTTGTTTTCATTATTAATCGTATTAGTAATATCATCATTATTCGTAATAGTACTACTATAATAAAAACGGGTGTCATTATTCGCATTAGTATCATCATCATTATTATTATTAGTATTATTATTGTTGTTATTACTATTGTTATTATAATTATTATTATTAGTATTATTATTAGTATTGCTATTGTTGTTATTATTATTATTATTATTACTGCATAGATATAGATATATGTATGTAATCTCGCTCTCCCGCTCTCTCTTTCCACGGCCCCTGGCCAGGCCCATCCTGGGCCCAGACGTGGTGTACAGGCCCCTCTGGCTTGGCCAGGCGAGACAAATGGAATGATCCCAGGCCCAAGATCGGTCTGGCCATGGGGCTGTGGATATGTGGCTGGTCCCGGACACCCTGCACCCAAACATGTTGTCACCTCTGGGCGGCGCTTTTGAATGTCCGCCCTTTCCGCCAACCTTCCTCGGCTACACGCAAGAGTGACCCCGTCGCTCTCGTTGTCCTCGTCGTCGCACTCGTCCTTCTCCTGTTGTCGTAGAAGTTCTGCCAGAAGAGCAAGCGCTAGCCTATATGCATCTCTCTCTGATGCGCCTCGTAGTGGTTTGGGGCGGACAAGAGCGCTTTGATGGTTCCTGCTGGGCCCATCGCATGAACCATCGCATCCTCGTTTTCGTGGTAGCGGTCACCGCTCATGTCCACTCGCGCCATCATGTCGTGGAACTTGTTGTGCGCGGGGTCCCTGAATTTGGATATGGCCACGATGGCGAAGGCCCCTGTGGTTGCCTGCCCCAGGACGGCGACTCGGCGATCATGGCCTTGAGTAAGTCCAGCCCCTGGAGCGCGGCGTGCATGATGAAGATGGGCTCGTCCTGCTCGTCGTTCTCCTCGTCCTCCTCTCGTGGCCCTCGTAGCGCAGCGCCTGGCTGTCGGAGCCTTGCTCGCGGCACGGCGTGTTCCTGAATATTCGGCTAGTGGTCCTCAGGGCTGTGTCGGAGGCTCTAACTCAGCCTGTGGCCTCTGTGGCGTTGCCGTTGGCCCTCGTTGTCCAGCTTGCGGTCCTCGCAGCCCGGCGCGTGGCCCTCGTAGCTCGGCATGCCGACCTTGAAGCTTAGCTCGTGGCCCTCGCAGCTCGGGTGGCCAGACTGGTTGCCCTCGTGGCTCAACTGGTTGCCCTCGCAGCTCAGGTGGCCCTGGGGACTCTGCTGGTAGCCCTCGCAGCTCAGCTGGTTAGCCTCATAGTTCGGCTGGTGGCCGAGGTCGCTCAGGTTGCAGCCCTCGTAGTTAAGCTGTTGGTCCTCGCAGCTCAGCACTTGGTTCGGGTAGTTCAGGTGGCGCTGGTAATTCAGCTGGCGGCCTTCGAAATTATGCCGGCGGTTCTCGAAGCGCTTCCGGCAGTCCTTGAGGAGTAGGAGGTGGTTCTCGTAACTCGTATCTCTGCGCGCCCAGGTCGGCCGACGGGTGGTGCTATAAACTCTGCTCGGTGTCAGTGTAGCTCAGCTCGTGTATCTCGTAGTTCTGCTCTTGGCCCCGGTGGCTCAGCTGGCTTCTCGTGGCAGCTACGGAGGGGCAGTGCTGCGGACCTGGTGCGCGGCAGCTCCCGCGTCGTCATTTCCAAGACTGCGTGGTGGTAGAAGCGTCGCCCCTGCTTGTCCAGGTAGCTGTGCCAGCCAGGCGGCAAGGGGGCTGGTGCCAGTGGCTCTCGCAGTTCAGCTGATTGCCCCCGTAGTTCAGCCGGCGGTCGCTCAGCGCGTGGTCCCAGTTGCTCGGCAGATGGTTCTCGTATCTCAGCTGGTGGCTGTCCTTGCTCAGCAGGGGGCCCTTGTAGTGCAGCTCGTCGCCCTGGTAGCTCTGCGGGAGGCCCTCGTAGTTCTGCTTGTGGCTCGCGTAGCTCGGGTAGTGGCCCTAGTAGCTCTGCCAATGGCCCTCGTAGTTCAGCTGGTGGGTCTCGGACTTCTATTTCTGGCCCTTGCAGTTTAGCTCGTCACATTTGTCGCTCTGCAGCAGGCTCAGGTGGAACTTCCTGTAGTCCGTGAAACTCTGGTTGTTGCCCGCGTCGCAAAGCAGGTGGCCCTCGTAGCTGGCGTAGCTAAGCCTGTGGTCCTCTTAGCACAGCTGGCGCCTCCGGTAGCTCAGCTGGTGGTTCTCGTAGCTCAGCTGGCGGCCCTCCTAGCGCAGCAAGCGGCCCTCGTGGTTCAGCTGGTTGTCCTTGTAGTCCTGCCTTTGGCTTTCGCTCAGCAAGCGGTCCTCCTTGCTCAGCTTGTGGCTCTCTTGGTTCTACAGGTGGCTCTCGTAGCTCGGCAGGTGGACTTGAAGCTCTTCTGGTGACTGTCGTAGCTGTGCGTGTGGTCCTTGGGGTGCAGCTCGTGGTCCCCGAAGGTCGTCTGGTGGCCCTGGTAGCTCTGCCGGTGGCGGTCGTCGCTCTGCTCGTTGCCCTCGAAGCCCAGGTGGTGGCCCGAGTAGCTTTCCAGGTGGCCCTCGTATCGCTGCTTCTCTTATCTCAGCTCGCGGTCTTCGTCGCTCAGCTTGTGGCTCGCGTGGCTCTGCTGGTGGCTCCCGTAGCGCAGAAGGTGGGTCTGGAAGCTCTCCTGGTGGCTCTCGTAGCTGCGCGTGTGTTCATCGTAGTTCAGCTTTTGGTCCCCGAAGGTCGTCTGGCGTGTTCCACGTTCAGGGTGTCTCTGCAGTCCTGGCGGCCGTCGCAACTCTGCGGCACGTCGAAATCCTTGGGGTCGTTGGAATACAAGTCGGTATCGCTATCGCAAAAAACAAACAAGTGTAACGGTGTTCGCCGTAGGCGGCGCGGCCTCAGTCGTTCCCGTCGCGGGCGGCACGGTCGTTGTTTGCCGTTACATCCACGACGACGTACCCAATAATCCTTTCGGGCTGCTTGGTCGCGTCGTTCCTGGTGTCGGCCTTTGTGGCGTACTTGGTGTCGTAGTGGTGGTGGTACTCGTCCTCGGGCTGCCTCTTACGCAGCTCTTTCTCGTACTTGGGCTGCCTGTTACGCAGCTCGCTTTCGCTCTGAAGCTGCCTGCTACGCAGCTCGTGCTTTGACGCTCTCTCGAAAGCGGTCGTAACCATGATGATGATGTCGTCGGGCCGAGACTGTATCCCATGCCGGACGTCATACCCCACTCGTTTTTCGGCCGCGTCCATTCGCGCCCATGAACTTCTTATGCGTGTATGGTCTCGGCATCCTTGCCAGTGCGTCCCCGCAGCAGTGGGTAAGTCTCGTGGCTGTCGCCTCAACGCCGCGCACACTCGTCTTACACATTTGCAACAGATTTATGGATTGAAAGCGGCTTGGATTCAAACTGTGTTTTTCGCCTGACCGCCGCGCACATTCGTTTCAAATACTTGCAACAGTTTCTCGGGTTGAGGACAGGTCGCTTTCAACATGTGGTTCTCGCCTTAGCACGGCGCGCACTCGTCTCAAAAGTTTGCAAAACATGTTTTACGTGTTGAAACATGTGGCTCTCGCTTTAGCGACGCGCACATTCATTTGAAACGTTTGCAAACGTTTCACGCAGTGAGGGCGGTTCCTTTTCAAACCGCGGTTCTCTCCTTAGCGCCGCGCGCATTCGTTTCAAAACTGTTCAAGTATTTCGCTCGTTCTCGTCGCTAACCATCCAACAATTGTTCTCTGGAGCGACTGAGGGCTGTCAGGGCGCAACAGTTGAGCTGATTCGCGGTGTTGAAGTCGCAGTAACGGTGTTCTGGCAATATTCTGGGTCGTCAAGACGCAAGAGTCGTGGCGTTGAAATCCTGAGAATACCGTCTCAGCGCGAGTCAAGATTTTCACACGGTTGTCCCCCAACGGGGTACTTCCCTCAGTGGGGATCCCCTCACCTTGCAGGGGCCTATGAAAAGGAGGGGGAAAGGGTGTATTGCAACGTTGTTGACGAGTCTTGGGTTTGCACTGGTCCTCCTCTTCTTCTTCCTCCTCCTCCTTCTTTTCCTTCCTGTCCTCCCCCCCTCTCTTAAGCAGGCTGTTGGGCCACGCAGGCCCGCAGCGTCAGGTTTTCCGTCTCCTCCCTCCTCCTACCTGCGTGGCCTGCCGCTGCTCTGCCTGCCCCCCCCCCTCTCCGAAGAGGGAGGCCCTCCCGCCTCCCGCGGCGGGCCCATGGCCGCCGGGCCCAACCCCCCGGGGGGCCCCAGGGTGACCAGGGTGCCGCGCGTGATGGTGTTGGGGCGCACGCCCTGGCGGGGGCGGCGCGGCGCGGCGCCGCGGCGGGCCGCGAGGAGGAGGAGGAGGAAGGAGGGAGGAGGAGGAGGAGGAGGAGGAGGAGGAGGAGGAGGAGGAGGAGGAGGAGGAGGAGGAGGAGGAGGAGGAGGAGGAGGAGGAGGAGGAGGAGGTAAAGCTAACGCTAATGCGCAGTGGGAGCGGTGACGAAAAAACGGGCCCCGAGAGGGGCCTGCCTTGAAATCGAGCTGGGGAGTGCCCCTTCGAAAAGTACGGAAGCACCGGGTCCTCAGCTATTCGCTGTAGGCCGTTCTTGGACGCCCTGGGGATGTCTCTGAAAAGGCCAGGGGGCCCGTCGCGGGAGAGACCTCCCTCCCTGATTGCAAAAATACGAGGAAGAAGAGGGCAGACCAGGAATAGCCCTGCATGGGTGCCCCCGTCGCTGCCTAGGACACATGAGAAGGTGTAATAACGCCACTGCAGAACATGAGCGCCCAACTGCAGCGCTCGTCATCCGGCTCCCCCCACGTCCCCTCCCCCTCCCGCTCCCGCTACACCCCGGAGGAGGAAGACGCGGAGGAAGGGGCTGAACAACAACAGAAGAAACGGACGGGGCGTCGGAGAAAGGAGGAGGAGGAGGAGGACGAGGAGGAGGGGGCGGGAGGCAGAGGAGGGGAATAAAGAGGGGGCTGAACAGCAACACCAGAAGACGCACGAGGCGTCGGATAAGGGATATGACGGAGGATAAGGAGGAGGCGGAGGAGAAGAAAGAGGATGAGGAGGCATAATAAGTGGAGGAGGAGTAGGAGGAGGCGTGCCTCAGCAAAAAGGGGTCGAGCACTTCGCCATCCAGATGATCAAGGCTCACAAGAAGGAGGAGGACACCTCGCCAGAGGAACACACCTTCTGGGAATACAGCTGGGCTGCAGTCAACGGTGCAGTGGATGCGGCAAGGCAGCATGCTTTGCCAACGGCTACCCTGCTGCAACATCTACGTGATCGTTGACTGCGCTACCTCTAACAGGTAACGGTTGCAATCATATTGTGTGCAAGGGCGGCTGCGCCTCCTGCCGTGGGACGGGATGTACGACAGAAGAAATGCGAACATACGCATGCTCACCTTCAGGCAGATACTCGCCAAAAAGAAGACGACACTGGAGTATTTCAAAATGATGTCGATGAGTTCAACCAGTGGGCACACATTGGTATGGATGATGATGATGCTGATGATGATGCTGATGATGATGATGATGATGATGATGATGATGATGATGATGATGATGATGATGATGGCGACGCTCCCGTTTGCGACCATGTCCGAGCCTCAACACACCAAGGCATCCACGGGCCACGGGTCATACCTACCACGACGCCAACGCCATCGAATGCCAGACCGTCAAATACACCACCTACGACAGCGCCTCTACACTGACGTCTTCATGGAAAACAGCGCTCAACGGCGACGGCAACACCATCTTCAGCGACTTCATCGTCTACGCCGCTGGGCCCTGCCTTGACGGCCAACCCAATGGAGAGGGCACCGAAGACGACATTTCCTGGATATGAGCGGGGCCCTGTAGTGCCAAACGCTATGAATTACAGGGGGGCGCCGTGGAAACTAACTACCACGACTCCTGAGCGTATTCGAGCAGATGAATGGGGAATATCAGCAGCAAGTGTTCCCAGCACTGGTACGGATCTTTGCAACATATGAATGGACTTGCGATGGCGTCAAGATCTGCCCGAGGAGCGTGACATGGATGGAACTCTCGATCGACTTCGCGATCGCGACAGGCATCCTGCCCTGCTGGCCCAATGAAGGCTCAGAGAACGTCACTCTGAAGAGGATGGGCAGGTGCTTCCGTGCAACGGCGACACGCATGTCAGTTCTATGCTTCAATGCAAGCCGGAGCTTGCGCCAAGGGGAGCACCATGCAAAGCGGCGCGCTCTTTGGTACCTCTGTGCGTGCGATCTGCAATTGGTTTTCTGTGCCGTCCTCGCTTCCTGGTGCACGACGCTACCATGGCAGTGATCTCTAATACAACGATGCTTACCACTACTCGGTGCTTTTCAACAACTGTTGTGCCAGCGTGGGGGGCCGCGTCGCCGCCGCGTTGCCCCCCCCTCCCCCCCTCTAGGCTGGACTCCCCGCATTTAGCTGCTGCTCTGGAAGGATGAGCGCTGATTGCAGTGGCGGCCAGAGGCTCGCGACCTAGGACATACATTCCCATCTTGGCAGCTGCAGCAGCAACGATATGGACACAACGAGAGAAGGCAGCGCTACCTGGGCTTCAAACGTCACCCGTTGCATGCCGAAGAGGAGCGACTTCTGCGCGACAAGGCGGCGGCCGAACGCGGCTTGCACTTACTGGCGCCTGCTGCGTGGAACCAAGCACCACGACTCAAATGCACCGTCTGTGGGAGAGAAGTCTCGCGCCGACGATTCGCGACTTGAGCCCGAAGGACACGCGCTGGACAAACGGCTTCATCTGCCAAGGCAGCGAGACGCCTCGCGCCTGACATCATCAACAATCGAATTCGAAGTCATAATGCAATGACGAAGCCCAAAGGCCATCGCATTGACGAGGCGGGCGCACATGGGGGCATGAATTGCGCAAAACGCAAAGAGACGCGACCCATGAGACACGCCGGGGGCTTCATCTTCGCCTTATGCACGCACGAGTCCGCCGGCGCGTCTCTCTGCCCTGGTGGAGTTTTTTTACCGCGGCACCAAAACGGCCAACTGATCACGGTCAGGTCGGCCACTGGCCCGAGGTGCGGAGGCAAGCGGGCGGGCTCCCTTCTATCGTCATCTACGTTGCAGTTCCTCGACTACGGCGAGCAGCGCTGCGTCAACTTCAATTTCAGCTCCTATGTCGGCGTCCTCCCCGTTCGTTGCAGAAGCGCCCCGCGGGGGAGATTCTGGCGGGTCGTCGGTGGCGATCGCGCTTGCCTCCTGACAGGGGGGGCCGGCGAATGGGCGGGCGGTGGGCGCTTGCTCTGAGGTGCACCGACCAACTGTTCTACGTCTACCTTTCGTCGGCCGGTTGGGCGCGCAGAAGCGTCTCATGAGGGGCGTCTGGCCAACTGTCGGCGGCGGCTGCGCTTGCCTTCTGCGCGCTCTGCTCTGCCCCCTCTTCGTTCGTTTCGGCGGCGTCCCGAGGGGGAGATTCCCGCGGATCGTCGGAGATGATCTCGCGTGCATCCCGACGGGGGGCATGGCTATGACGACACAGGCGCAGGCTGACTGGACTTGGGGCCTGTGGCGAATACTTAACGGGGCTGTCCAGATGCCCGAAGCCGTTTCATTTTCGTTGGTTATCTTCTCAGATCCATTTGTGTCTTCACGGCATAATGCCAATGTGAGCGCGATGGCTGCAACCCCCGTCGACGTCATTGTATTGACCTAACCATTCCATTTTTTGATTGCCTCGCCGCGAACGTGTTCAAGGAGAAATGCCCCAATTCAGCCCCCTCAACAAGTCCTCGGGGAAGTCCGCCCACCGCGACGTCCAAAGGCCCCGGTCGGGCCCCCCCCCCGCGCTCTCCAGTTGGATCGCCGGCAGCCGATGCATCGCGCAGGGGCAGGTCTTCGCACCAAGCTTGCCAGGGAATCTCGCGCCATCAGGCGTTTGCGCAGCAAGGCCGGGCGGGCGCTCGACATCGGTGCCGGCAAGGGTCGGGGGGCGCGCCGGCCTGGCCCTGCGCGGGGGCGCCGCGCGCCTGCCGCGCGGAGTCCCAGGCAGAGAGCCCGCCCGCTTCGTCGATGTCGGAGGCGTGGGCTCGAAGTCCTCTGTCTCGGCTCCCAATTATCCCTTCGCGCCATCCGCTGAATCAGCCCGATGCGATGCCACCCGTCGCGCAGGGACAATTCGCGGAACGCCGCGCGCCCATGCCGCGGGGTGCGTTTCCAGCTAGGTCTGCAAGGCTGGCCGCGAGGCCCGCGCAAGCTCCCCGGCCCGCGGCGGGGGCCAGCGGGTTTTCATGTCCGAGCCCGCGACGCCAGGCGCGCGCAGCTCGGCAGCGGGTGGGGCGGCGCGCGCCGCGTGCTGGGCCTTGCGTCTGGCCGTCGGTTCCTTGAGTGGCGGCTGCCGATTTCCTGCCGCCCCGGTGGGCGCGGGCGGGAGCGATGGCGTCCGCTAAATACTTCGCGCGCGCTGCCGTCTGCCACTAACAACCGGGCGAAGCCTTGCCGCATGCCGAGCGTGCCCAGGATGCGCGGAGACCGTGGATCCCATCAACGCAGAGCCACCTGCCCCATTGCGCCCGCAGGTCGAAGCTTCAGCCCGCCCCAATTGCCCGAGCGAAGTCGACGTAGCTGAGTGCCCCTCCAAGTAGACGGAGAAGTCGCACCAACGCATGCATGTCTTGCTGAATCAACGCAGTCGGAAAAGGAAGAAAGTGCGCCGTGCAGGTCGACGTCGGTAAGAATCGCGCGACGCAGTGGATCGCGATCAGCGTGGGGGGAGCAGCCGGCCCCCTCAGGGGCAGCAGCCCTGTCCTTGCGCTTTGCCCACGGCCCCGCTCAAGGCGAACGGCTGGTAGCAGCCGGGTCAAGCCGCGGACCATGGCCTGAGCTTGAGATTCGCCAACTTCCCCGTGGCGGCCATCGCGCGAGCGGGATAATTAATGCCAGGCCCCTCGAGAAGGGCGCCCCCGATGTCGTCCGCGCGAGCCCAGGGGAACTCCCCGATGGCGCCGTTCCAAGCCAGCGAGCAGGTCCTTCAACCAAAAAATGCGAAACGAAACAATTCCACTGTGCGGCCACCGGCGCGCCCCGCCGCAATGACCAACGTATACAACGAGCGAGTGGGTGCGTCATCGCTGTCGGAAGCCGCGACCCTTCCAGCGCCGCGAACAGAATCCCTTGTCCCAAATTTGGGGATGCATGGCCAGAGTCCATGGCAACGCGCAGTTGGTGTCTACCTTGTAAATTAAGTTGCAGGGAGGCGGCCCGTGCCAGCATGTCAAGCTGCAAGATGTGAGGTGTGAGCTGCGGTGTGAGCTGCCGTCGGGCATTCAAGCTGCGCTGCGCCGACGACATAGTCTGTTGGACAATGAGGGCGGACGCCGTGTTCAAAGTTGCGGAGATCACCTTCGAGTCCGTGTTCTGCAGTCCCAAGGTGCGAACTGTATCGGCTGCAGTGCGCGACCCACCACTACCCCCATCCGGCTCGTAGCTCCCCTTACGGAGGAATGCTTGTAGCGTGGCCCCAGGAAGGAGACAACTATCTGCTGGCCGTCAACCATCCATCTGCAAGCTTGCCAGAGCACTGTGGCACCGTACTCGTGTGCCGCCCAAACAGCGCATGGGAAGACCGTCTACTCCTGGGGCCGCCCAGATGTGGCAAACTTCTCCGCCACCTTATTGGACATCTCCTTCGGCGGGGGCTGGAAGCTGCCGGAATCGCCCCGCTTCGTGGACTTCGCAATGCAAGCGGCGACCGTGCTGACGGGGTAGCGCGGCGGACTTGCAGAGGCAGGAGCCTGATAGTCCGTCGAAGCTTTCAGCTTCTCGGCACGGTGAAAGCATTGGATAAGGAACAATTGGATAAGGAATACAGGGTCTCGGAGCTGGTGGAACACCAATCGTGGATTGGCCATGGATGTCACCGCCGACCTCATCAGATAAGTAGTCCTCCAGGGCCTGACGTCCCCTGGGCACATTCCTGCACGAACGCCCCCACCCTAGCTGGGATGAAGAACTGCCCTCCAACTTTGATCGCGCGCGTGGCCGAACGCTCGGCGGAGGGCTACCACAACCGTGCTGGCCGCTTGGCCACCAGAAGGACACCAGGCGGAGGACGGCTGCGACGGAGGTACTTAACGAACATCTTGAGCCAAAACGTCCACAGGAGGAGGAAAAGGAGGAGGAAAAGGAGGAGGAGGACGAGGAAGAGGAGGAGGAGGAGGAGGAGGAGGAGGAGGAAGAGGAGGAGGAGGAGGAGGAGGAGGAGCAGGAGGTGGAGGAGGAGGATGAGGCGGAAGAGGAGGAGGAGGAGCAGGAGGAGGACGACGACGATGACGGCGGGGACGAGGAGACGGCCGAGGAGGGAAGGGGTGAACCCTGGTGGTGGCAGCGCAGTGGCACCCTCGCCTCCGCCCGCAGCAGGGCCCCGGCCCACAGCGCCATGGCCCACAGCCCGCCCGGCTCGAAGGCGCCTGAGGCGCGCCGTGCCTCCCTCGCTCTATCTCGCCTCTCCTCTGCCCCTGCCGAGGGCTCTCCCCCCCCCCTCTCCCCCCTCCCTGTCTTTCTCCCTCATGGCGTTTCACTGAGAGGCTCTGGTGGGAGTAATCACCGAAGAACCCCACAGGGGGTAATTACGTGGAGCCCTGGACCGCACAGTGCGACACGGTCTGGCGGCGGTTTTGCTTCGGACTTCCGCACCATTCGCTCAATAATCATGTTCTCGCCTCAACAATGCTGGCGACATTGCTGGTCCGGACGGCCACGACTTCTGGTTCAAAAATACTGAAATGCACATGGCGGTGTCCTCAGCGGTCCGGCGGCGGTTCCGCTTAAGACTTCCTTGCGATTCTGTGAGGAATCGTGCTTTCGCCGGAATGCCCGCTACCACAAGTGGGACAAAGAACCCGAGACCACCTGGTCCGACAGCCGCTTCGCCTGAAGCTTCCTCTCAATTTATTCAGGACCCCTGCTCTCGCCTTTCTGCCGGCTGCATTTTTTTTCTGACGGCAACGATCCCGCAAATCGTACAGGCCGCACACATCCAAGAGGCCGCACTGGCCGTACATGTTCCAGAGGTTCCACATGTCCAAAGGTCTCACGGGTCCAAAGGCTCCAACAGGTCCCACAGGCCCCACAGATCTCACGGTCCTGCAGGTTCCACAGGTCCCACAGGCCCCATAGGCCACTGACATTCCACAAGTCCCAAAGGTCGTGGAGGCCGCACAAGTCCCTTCAAGTTCCACAGGTTCCACAAGTCCCTCCAGGTCCCACGTGTCCTACAAAAACCCCATGTTCCACAGGTTCCACAAGTCCCACAGGACCCACATGTCTCACAGGTCTCGCAGGTCCCACAGGTCCCAGAGGTCCTGCAGGTCCCAGAGGTGTCGTAGGTCTCACAGGTCCCACAGGCCACAGGGGTCCCCCAGGTTCTACAGGTGCTACAAGTCCTGCAGTTCCCACAGGTCGGACAGCGGGTCCACAGTTCTCACCCGCCCCATCGGTCCCACAGGTCCCACGAAGTCCCAAAGGTCCCACACGTGCAAGAGGTCACACAGGTCGCATAACTCCACAGATCCGACAGGCCTTATAGGTCCCGCAGGTTTCGTAGGTCTCCCAGGTCCCGCAGGTCCCGCACGTCCCACAGGTGTCGCAAGTCGTATAAAGTCCCATGAGCTACAGAGGTCGCCCGGGCCCCACAGACTCCACAGGTCCCACAGGTCCCACAAGTGGCTCAGTCCCACGAAATCCAGAAGTTTCACAAGTCCCACCAAGTCCCGCAGGTCCCAGAGGTCCCAGAGGTCCCAGAGGTCCCAGAGGTCCCACAAGTCGCACAAGCCCACAATTCCCGCAGGCCCCACATGTCCCACAAGTCACACGGGCTCCACAGGTCCCGCAGGACGTACAGGCCGCACAGGCCGCTCAGGTCCCACAGCTGTCAGAAGTCCCACGAGCTCCACACGTTCCACAAACCCCACCACATCCCACAGGTTTCACGGGCCCCACAGGTCCCAGAGGTCCCAGAGGTCAGGGAAGTCCCACAGGTCGCACAAGTCCCACAGGTCGCACAAGTCCCACGGGCCCTACAAGTCCCACATGCCCCACGGGTCCCACGGGTCCCAAAGGTCGCACAGGTCCCAGGCTCGGGTTCGGGGGACCCGGGTTGGCCAAACGGGGCCGTCAGGAAAATGACGATCCGAAATTTGACGCGAGCTCCGACTGCAAACATCCCACGGGAAACTGGGCCGTCAAACTTCTGGACGGGCCCGTCAAAAAGCGTCGGCAAACCCCAATCCTGGTGAACTCGAGTCTTACGTTTCCGGACGATTGTGGGCTGTCGGGCAGCCCAATTGTGGGGCCGAAGGTCGCCATCGTGGCTTCCGCCCCCGCCACCCGGCCGAGACTTTCCAGGCATGCGACATTCTGCTTTTTTCAACGCGTAGTCACTGGACATCCCGATCCTTCCCCCGGGCCCGGCGAGGGCCCCCTGAGGCCGAGAATTGCGAAAAACCTCCCGTCGTGATTTTCGTTCACGCCGCGATGATGTCTGGGCCGGCAGACTGGATCGCCCGAGGTCCTCGGCGGACCGACCGACCGACCTCCTCGGCCCCTTGGCTAGAGGCCTCCTAGATGGGGTCGGAGTAGATGGGGTCGGAGGGTCGCGCCGCATCGCCGATACATCGGCGATGCATCGGCGATGCATCGGCGATGCACCAGCGATGCATCGTCGACGTGGGCTATGCATCGGCGACGTCGACGTGAAGCAAATCGGACTCCGCATCGAGCCGCATCGGCGATGCATCGGCGATGCGGAGCGATCCTCTGACCCCATCTACTCCGACCCCATCTAGGAGGCCTAGATTGGCGGGGGTCTCTCGACGCCCTCCTCTCTGTTTGTGCCCCTGGGGGCCGCGAGGGCCCGCAGCGGCGGCCCCGGGCTGCCAAGCTCGCACGCCGTGCGCTGACCGTGGGCTGCCGATCCCCAGTTCCTTCCCTGTCCTTCCCTCCCCCCCGCCTCCTCTTCCATTCTCCCTCGCTGTTCTTCCCTTCCCAGTTCCTTCCCTGCTCTTCCCTCCCCCCCGCCTCCTCTTCCATCCTCCCCTCCTCCCTCCTCCATCGCTCCTCTGTCGTCCTCCCTCCTGCCTCCCTCGTCCTCGAGTCCGCGCTCCGTCATCCTTCCGCCCTCTTCCTCTCTCCTCTCTATCCTGCTTTCCTCCGTCCTCCGTCCCCCTCCACCCCTGCCTCCCACCCTCCGCCTCTGTGTCTGCGGAGCCGCAATCTTTGCTGGGATGGGAGTTTGCGAACTTTGGGCCCGTCTGCCCGCAGCGCCTCCTCTAACGCCAGTGCCCTGGCGATGGGAGCACAAGCGCTGCCACCGCAACAAGAAGTGCCGCCCGTAACTCTGGGCGCGGTCTACCATGCCATCTGCACGAGCGCGTACCCACAGCCTGCGTAACTCGAGCGGCATAGGCGAAAGGGTGTCTCGACTCTCCCCTCCTGTGTGGCCAGCAGGGTGGACGCCACTAGTGTCCAATGTGGGAGAGAATGCTCGGCACCAGGGCCTGCACTACCCTCGCAAACGCCTGCACGCATGCTGGAACCTGTTGTGTGGGAATGCGGGTGAAGAGCCGTGGCACTTACCGAAACTTCGAAATCCTCGCAGAACGAATCATGAATGTGGACGACCCTCGCTTCAAATTCGAAGCAGCTATGATAACGGAAAGCTTAACGCCAAACGCTGCAACCTTTTCAAAGCTGCTGGGCTCGACGCCTGGATGCTCGACTACGCTACGAGCTTGGGGCCTGCATTGCCGCACAGTTTGGGCATACGTTCGTTCAGCCGTTTCTCCAGATGTTCTCCCTCTGAACTTTTATTTCCTCCTTCTCCCCCCTCCTCTTTCGATATCCTTCCTCACTTAGTCTCCATCCTCGCTCATCCTCCATCCTCCTCCTCCTTATCCTCCTCCTCATCCTCCTCCCCTCTTCCCTCCATCCCTCGTCCCTCGCCGCTTCGCGCCATCCCTCTTCCTCTCTCCCCCACCTCCTCCTTTCTAGTTTCTCTTTGCCTCTCCATTCAGCTCTCCCTCTCTTCCTCATCGGTCCTCCCTGCGCCCTCATCTGAAACCAGGGAATTGAATTTCCAAGGCGCCCTCGAAATCGCCCTCACTCCAGTCCAGGCCTTGCCTCTTACACTGAAGAGCCTAGACCTTGGGACATTCGCGCTCCTGGGAAGACCAAGAGGTACCGATACCCCGGACCCCTCCCGGGGTCCGTTCTGATCAGGATTTTGAAGCGAATTCAGCGGTGGCGACGAGGGCCTCTCAGGAGGCCAAACAAAAGGGAAAAACGGCGAAGGGATAGAGGTATGGCTACCTTTCCCTCCTCGGAGTTCCTCCTCCCGCACCCCTGGGAAGAGAGCCTGTCACTGAGCCGAGGGTGACCACGTTGGGACGAAGCTCCACGGCGCGCAGGTGTCGCAGCAGGGCCAGTGCGTGCAGCCACCGCTCGTCCTACCAACGGGCTTCAGCACACCCGCTCGCTGCGCATACCAGCTGTCCCTCCTACAGTCAACCCCGTATATCGGCGGAGAGCCTGGGGGGGAAGTGAGAAGGAGAATAAAACAAGGCTAGGATCGGGATAAATCGCTCCAGAGCGTTCCGGAGCGCTCTTAGAGCGTTCCGGAACGCTCTGGAGCGGCCGCGGCGCCCAATACATCCTCCAAACCCGCCGATTCTCAGAGATTTCGAGTTATCCCGATCCGATTTTGTCCCGATCTTCGCATCGTTTTAGAGAAGGCCTTCTCAGAAGGCTCGGAAGTCCCCCGGCCTTCTGAGAAGCTTTCCGAGCCTTCCCCGAAGACAAAGAAAACTTCTCGGAAGGCGCGAGGGCTCCTGAGAAGTCCCGCCGCCTTCTGAGAGGGCCTTCTCCCCCTCACTTCCCCCCCCACCCGCCGCCGAGCGTAACAGAGATGCGCGGCAAAGAGGCAAGGGCCCTGGAAAGGCCATGCCGGCACTTTGCGAGCGGGGCGTGGCCAACGAAAGCGGCCAAGGATGGGCCGAGGGGGAAGGATGCAAGGGTACTCCAGATTTCGTAATAAAGGGAGGGGGGCCTCATTTCGGGGGGGGTCTCTTCCAGGCTATCTTGGAGGGCCTGGGGGGTCTGGGGACGATGTTTCGGAGGGCTCTCCCACGGGAAGGTCTGAAATGGCTTGTCTTGGAGGGTCCAGACCCCCTCCCTTTTATTAAGAAATCTGGGGTAACCTTGGAAAGTCGCGCATCCTTACTGTGCGGGCTGGCTGTATGCACCCGCTGCACGCAGGAGTGACCCTAGGCAGGAGTGACAACTGGTGCGTGGCGTCCGGGCGAGGTCGGAGGCCAAATCCAAGCGCGCCAGCCAGTGCCCGGTGGGCCCCTCTGGCCCGCACCAAAGGTCGCTCTGGTGAAGGGCCACTCTTACACGTCGGTCGGAAGAAGTAGGTAAAATCATGAAGTGGGAAAGGCGGATCACGCAGCAAAAGCATACAAGTAGGAAGGCGCTTGAAGCAGATTGGGATCTAGGAGTCCAGAAAGATGTACTGTGAACGACCTGCGTGTACGCGTGGCCGGCTGCCGCTCGCCCTCTTCAGAGGTCCTGCTTGAAGAAACATATAGAAAGACGTCCGCTCGGAATCCCTGACGGCGAGCCTGTCTGCGAGAATGCCTGGTCATGGGCGAGGAGGATACTAGAGAAGATGTGGATGGTTCAATCTAACAGCCCCAGAGAGACACGGGTTACTTTTTCGAAGGTCCGCGCGAATTTCGTGGGCGGGCGTGGGATCCCCCTCCCGATGGCCCTTCGCGGAGCACGCCGAAGGCGCGCCGCCAGGGTTGCTGGGGAGACGGGTCCAGCGCCTACCAAAGAGATCCGCGCGGACCACTGGACGTTGTGTGGTGTGTGATCTGCCCGTCTTCTCTGAAACAGGGACCTGACTGCCAGGCGCTCGAGAAGCGCAGAAAAGGACTTGCCTGCTCGAGAACGGCGAAAATATTGCTGCCGTCCGCTGGGTGCGGCTGCTGGAGCATGCCTCGGCCCCCTCCGAGCCGCCTGCGGCTCTTGGAGGGATAGGCCGATGGCAAGACAAGCTGCACCATCCCCGAACCCCGTGCGTCGCGAACAACAAATACGGCAAACAACTTGACAACTTGCCGTCGGGGGGCCGCTTTCGGACCCCTGGGCCTGCAAACGCCTAGCCTTGGCGAAAAGAACCCGTCCCAAGGATGATGTATGTGGCTGCAAGATCACGTCGTGAAATGAGCACGACATCTACGGCAGGCTCGTGTCGTGTAGACCCCAGCGCTGGTTCCTGACACCGCGAGAAGCGTTCAATCTTGAACGATCGGTAATTTACCAAAACGTCGGATCGTTAAACATCGATCGATTCTTGGTCGCCGGCGGCGTTCAATCTTGAACGCCGCCGGCGGGGTCGCCACCAGTCGGCACGACGAGAACCTACTGTAAGGTCTTGGATCCTTTCCTGCCCATGGCAGCCCCTCCCCTGGACTGCTCGAACGGCCCGCGTGGAAGACAGTCTGGGCCACTGGAAAATACAAACAACAAAACACCAGGATATGCCACCCCCAAACAACGCCAACCCCAAGCATCCGACGTCGTTATTTTTTGTGTGTTTCCACACCGTGGCTCCGAGGGGCTTTTAATTCAGAATTCGCCGGCCCAACGGGCCAGAGGCGCGCTAAGATCTCTGGTAACTGGTTAACAATATTTCTAGTTCGCGCGCGCGGGGCGGCCCTTGGGGGTCCCCGGGCGAAAAGTACCCCGGGCAAGTCCCGGGAGGAGACCCCGGGCCGGGCAATTTTACGGCAAAGTACCCCGGGCAATTGTGTTTCCAAAGCTTTTATACAATTTAGAAACACTGTGGCTTTTAAAAGCAGACAAAAAGATATTAGACAGTTTCAATGCGCAATGTCTCAGGCGTATTTGCCGCATTCCACATTCATATCTGTGTCTAACGACCAAGTTTTGAACACATGTCGAGCCCGCCCTCTCAGTGAGGCGCTTTGTGAGAGACAGACTTCGCTATACAACAAGATCGCAGGGTTGTCACAAGACCACCCGCTGCGAGTTCTCACCTGCAAGCCCGGATCATATTTACCTCGGGTCTGGGACCAATGCCGGAAGAGAGGCAGACCGAAGCAACATTGGGCTTCGTGTGTTTACAAGCTTCTGCCACAACAGTGGTCCTGAGGTGGTCCCTCCCCCCCTTCTTCGTTCCCTCCTCCCTCCGCCCCCTCCCTTCCTCCCCCTCCTCCCGCGTGGCGCCGATACGTTTGCAGGTGAATTCGTATCCTTCTCACTGCCCGCATTTCTCTGCCACACGCATAACTTTTTATCTTGCCAATGCGCCGTCTGTGCGCCAGGCTTGACTGACTGGCCTCACGAGGATCGTGGCCTCCGAGGGGGGAGCCGCAATCGACTACCCCCCCTCCCGCCCCAAGAGGCCCACAAGAGCCCCCCAAGAGGTCCTGGGGGCCCCCAAGACGCCGCCAAGGAGCCCCAAGAGACTCCCAAGAGGTCCCCAAGAGGCCCCCAAGAGGCCCTAAAGAGGGCTCCAGGGCCGGCGGAATGAGCGAAGCGATTAGATAATTTGCTGACGGTCCTGGAGTCCAGCAGGGGTCTCAAGAGGCCGAAACTTGGCAAAAACCTCCCGCCGACTCTTGGCACGACACGGGAGTCTGCGCCAACGCCGATCCTGGCCAAGCTGGCGCTGGGCCTGCGAACGGCCTCCGACCAGGACTGGCGTATCCGCGTGACGCCCTCCTGCAGGAGGGGAAGACCGGTTTGTGCTCGCCGAAGGCGAACTTCCGATGGAAGCAACACACTTTTTCAGAATCGGCATTTCTGTTGCCTCCTTCTTGTCCCTGTGCGCACAGGTCGAGCCGGAGACGCCAATGAAGTGGGAGGACGAGGAAAATGGCGAAAAGGGGGAAGAACGAGGAGGGGGAGGACGAGTTTCATTCACAGCCGAGAGCTGCGGGGGAGGCCTTAACATTAAAGACCTCCCTCGGGCTGACGTCGCGCCAGGCGACGTCAGCCAGACGTGCTGACGTCGCACCAGGCGACGTGCACGGGCTGCCGTCCGTGCACGACTCAGGCTGACGTCGCGCCAGGCGAGGGGACGCGGCGCGCACACAGACCAGAGCCTGCCTGGCGTGGCTCGAGGAGGAGGAGGAGGAGGAGGAGGAGGAGGAGGAGGAGGAGGAGGAGGAGGAGGCACAGTGTGCGGAGGAGTTCCCGTTAAACCCAAAGGATAAGAACCTTTACTGCCTTGCGCGGGCCCCCTGTCCAGCCTCTGGCCCCTCTCCACAGCTGGGTCTTCGCCGGCAGGCGAAAGCTGGGGACTGTGCGAGAGCATCCGAGGGGCAGTGGCGTTCGGACCCCATATCGCCCTCCCAGGCGCCGTCCTTCGCGCAGGCGCGGATGGCCGCGTTGAAGGTCACCGCGGTCGTTCCCGCCCCGCGCCGCAGCCTGGGCATCCCGGAGATTCCTTCTCCTCCTCCTCCCCCTCCGCCTTCTTCGTGCCCTCTGGGGCTCCGCGGTCTGGCCGCGGCGCCCCCCCGCCCCCCGCCGGCGCCACGCCGGTTGGGAGCTTCAAGAAAGCCGAGGCAGCTGGTGGGGTCACTGCAACCGCTCGGCGTCACCCTCCATGGCCAGAAGCAAGCCCACGGGCGCCCGACCACACGTCGGGGCCCGGTGCGTTGGGCTCCCGGGAGGTCTCGGGGGCGATCTGGCGGCCCTCCCCCCCGCCGACATCCCCTGTTCTCACACATCGGGGGGGCCGTAAAGGTGGGGCAGTCCCAGAGGTGGGGGGTTAGAGGAAACATCGTCCCTGGGGGAGGGAAGCACCAACCTCACGCTGGGTTGTCCCTGGCCCCACCTTGGGCTACCCCCGTCTCTAGGTGCGTACCCTCGAATCCGCCACCGTGCTCCCTGGGCGTTGAGGCGTGGCAGAATGCCAAGTGCTGTCTGGTAGGGTTTCTGTTTTCTTCGAAAGCCACCTGCACCTCTCGGGTCGGGCGAAAGGGGGGGATAGCAAAGGGGGGGTTTGAGAATCAGCTCGCGTAGCTGATTTTCCCGGCGCCTCCCGGCGCCGGAGGCGACCATGTATCGAGGAATGGGCCCCTCGGTGAGGCCGAAACCAGCTGCATGCAGCAAATTTCGTAACCCCCCCTTTCCCAATCCCCCCCTTTCGCCCGACCCGAACCTCCTCCCGTCATGTGCGTCGGCGTCCCAGCTGGGACACGGCCCTGGGCACGCGGCAGAGGCCCACCTGGCTACCGCAGAGCTCCTCTCGTCGTGAGCACCTCGCGACGGGGCCGTCAACAGAAAAGCAACTCGGGATGAGAAACGTGCCCCAGGGGCAGGGTCCAGACCTCTGGGGCGTCCACGCTGCGAGTAATCACGACGTCGGAGATCTGGGCGCGACAACTCCTCCCCCTTTTCGCCGCACCTCCTTCTGTGCATCGATCGCCCCCCCCCCCCTTCGCGAGGCTTTCTGGGCGGCGCGGCGCTTTCCTGGCGCTCTCCGAGGCGCCCAGGCTGCCCGGGCTGGCTTCCAAGACGGCCCAGGAAGGCCCACAAGGCCGCTCAGATGGCTCGCTGTTCCTCCAAGACAGCCGATCGGCGACGAGCGAAGTGGGGGGAGCGAGCAGGAGAAAGCCTTCTCAGAAGGCGGCGGGGCTTCTCAGAAGCCCTCCGGCCTCCTGAAAAGGTTTCGGTGTCTGTGGGGAAGGCCCAGAAAACTTCTCAGAGGGCCGGAGATTTTCCGAGCCTTCTGAGGAGGCCCGCCCCCTCTCGCTTCCCCTCCGGGCTGGCCGCCGAGCCTATCGTGCCCCCGAGACGGCCCATGGTGCCCTCCATATTGCCCACGAGGCCTTCTGGACGGCCCAAATCGGCTGCAGCCATGCTCCAGGAGGACCCCAAAATTCCAGAACCATCGACTGCCTTGTAGAGAGGTTTGGGAGAGACATCCGATTTCTCGATTATTCAAGCGTCCGTCAGCGCAAGATAATCCAAAAAGGTCCGATATAGCACGAAGACGGCCTGGAAATTCCGAACAAGGCATCCAAGCGGGCCTCAAGACGGTCCAAAAGACCTCAAGCGTCCAAGTCGGCCTCAAGCCCCAAGCGCCAAGATGTGTCAAGAGGACCCCAACACGGCCCAAGAGCCAAGGGGGCCCCAAGACTACCCCACATACGCCCAGGCCACCCCCAAGATATCCCAGATGAGGTCCTTGAGGGCTCCTCGAACAAAAACGAAAGGTGTCGCATGTGACGGTTATCTTCTTCCTCCTCCTCACCGTCGTCATCATCATCACCACTATCGCCATCACCACCATCACAGTCACCATCACCATCACCACAACCACCATCGTCAGCACCATCATCATGATGATGCTGATCATCATCATCGTCATCATCTTCATCATCTTCAGCATCTTCATCATTCTCATCGTCATGGCCATCGTCATCATCATGCACATTATCATTATTATGATCAGCATCAGTATCATCAACATCATCACCATCATTGTCATCAGCATCACCAGCTCCAACACCATAACCATCATCACCATTGTCATCGTCATAATCAGCTTCACCATCATCATCATCATCACTATCATCAGCAGCATCATCGCCCGCATCATCAATATCATCATCGTCATCATCATCCGCATCATCATCATCAGTATCCTCATCCTCATCCTCCTCCTCATCATCATCACTGTCACCATCATCGTCAACAGTATCATCATCATCACCATCACCATCACCATCACCGCCATCGCCATCAGCATCAAACCAAACACCATTACCATCAGCGTCATCGCCACCACCAACCCAACAATTTACATCACCACCAGCAGCATAGTCATCATCATCAGCATCATCATCCTCATCCTCATCTTCATCCTCATCCTTGCCATCGTCATCGTCATCACCATCATCAAGATCATCAGCATCATCATCATCATCATCAGCATCATCATAATCAGAATCAGCATCAGCATCATCATCATCATCATCATCATCATCATCATCATCAGCATCATCATCATCATCATCATCATCATCATCATCATCATCATCATCATCATTATCATCGTCATCGTCGTCGTCGACGTCGTCGTCGTCATCCACGTCCACATCCTCATCCTCATCCTTATCCGCACGCTCCGTCTCCTCATTTCCATCCTCATCCTCATCCTCATCAGCATCCTCATCCTCATCCTCATCCTCATCCTCATCCTCATCCTCATCCTCATCCTCATCCTCATTATCGTCATTATCATCATCGTCCTCCTGCTCCTCCTCATCACCATCATGTCGTTCATTGCCATCGCCCGCCGCACTCATCCTCATCCTCTACACATCCTTCTCACCATCTAGTCACATCGTCATCATCTTCTCATCGTCGTCGTTATCCTCATTGTTCTAGCAGCTGCCGCCGAAATTGCTGGGCTGGCACGGCGGCGGGACTAGCTACAAGCAACTGGATACATAGATCCTACTCGTCGCGCCACCAGCAAGGGGACGCGCCGATCCAAATCAGCGCCAATCCGAGCCAGGAGCCCTGTCGCGAACCTGGAGCGGCCGCATGCGGAGGAGCAGGGAGGGGGGGTCGGCTCCATCCACATGGCAGAGAGGATCTCAGGGAGGATGGACTGACCCTCGGTAGGCCTAACCCCGTTGCACGCGCTCTGAAGACGTGCCGGTGCGGTGCGCACGGCGTTTCGCACGAGACTTCTTCACCATGCATGGCCCTGCAACTCAAAACTTCCAACAGTTGCACGGGTGGATGGCGGTTGGTCAAACTGCGGCTCTCGCCTCGTCGCCGTGCACATCCGTCGTACAAGCATGATCACAACAAAGCACGCTCAGGATGATCCCGAGAGGGTCCTGCGAGGGTCCTGAGACGCTCCTCGGAGGCTCGCTCCTGAGAGGACCATGAGAGGCTCATGAACAACTTGTGAGGTGCTGTTCCAAGGATCCCGAGGGGCTCCGGAGATCCTCCGCGGGGTTTTCGCCTGGCGCCCTGTTAGTTCCCCTCCCGCTCCCCTTCTGTCTCCTGCTTCACAGTTGTGATGCGCAGCCCGTTTTTCTGCTTCACAGTCGAGCGGGTGTACTTTAGATTTCCACGAGGAGCTGCCAATCGTGCACTCTTCTGCCCACGCGTCCTTCCGGATGCTCGGCTCAGCCTGCCTGCCTGCCCTGTCAGTGGCCGGCTGTGGGCGCCTCGTGGGCGCCCCGTGCGCTGGCCGGGTCCCAACGAGGCCTCGCCTGGAGGCCGCCCGTGGGTGCCTCTTGGGAGCGCCGTGCGCTGGGCGGGGCCGCCGAAATGTCGCCCGGTGGCCGCCTGCGGGCGCCCTTGTGGGGCCTGCTGCAGGCTGCACCGCGTGGCTTGCGCCGCATGGCTTCCACGAGGCAGCACGGCTGGAACTGGGCGGGGCCTCCCGCTGCAAGCATCTCACCGTCATTATCATCAGCATCATCACCATCATTGTCATCAGCATCACCAGCTCCAACACCATAATCATCATCACCATCGTCATCGTCATAATCACGTGGCGTGCGCCGCATGACTTCCACTAGGCAGCACGGCTGGAACTGGGCGGGAGCTCCCGCTGCAGGCAGCTCACGAAAGATGCCAGTCGATGTCAGAGCCGGGGCCGTCAAAACGCGGCTGCCACCCCGAGCTTCTGACAGCCTCGTGTCTTGTGCTTGTCTGGCGCGACAGGTAGGATGTATCTCTGACTCGGTACATGCAACAATTAGCTTCCACAAGGTGGTCTGGAGTTGTGGCTGGGGCAGGTGGTGGATCGCTGGTACTGCGATCGCAGTCGTTTTAGTTCGAATCCCGTGCAGCTGAGCCAACTGTAAGGCGGAGGCGTGCCAAGCAACTGGCACGGCGGGTATTGAACGTAAAAATTGTCTTGACCCCTCTCGAACACAATGCGGAGGCTTCGAAGAGCACAAGCGCGCCTGTTAGCTGTACGCCCGATCCTGGCAAGCGCATCCTGGGCCCTGGGCCCAAGATTGGCGTATGCCCCGCATCCAAGTGTGATCATCCGGAGATCTCTGCAGCATCCCAAGGATCGGGCGCACGCTAACATTCACGTGGCCTCGTCTCCATCAGGCAGGCGTCGTGAGTGCACGAAAATCTGCCCGACTGTGACCGAAACTGGCGTCCAACATCTTCCGACCGCGCCCAGGCGTGACCGACATGATTGGTTCGAAACCAAGACGATCGTCAGCTTCGATCGCAATTTCGGTCGCACGACGTTTTCGGTCACAGCTTCGGGCACGTGTTCGATCACCGATTGTCTCAATACCTTTTCGGCTGATGGGGGCGAGGTGCCATGATACCATGGGCTGGGGATCCGTGGGTGGTGCAATCGATTTGGGGCAACTGTATAGTGCATGTATTGCGAGGGAGGCTTGTATTGCATTGAATTGCCTCCAATGCGT